TACAACAGTCATAATAGTGACTTAGGCGATAGATAGATATATTGTCAATTTTCCGTGAACAACTGTTAGGTATGTGAATCACATTAGCAAGTGATTTGTAATTATTATTGATTATATTTAAATAATTTAGGAATTATATTTTGAGGTAATAATTAATAATATAACATTATTTAATTTATTTTAATACTGTACCAAAAATTACTATAAATAAAGGCAAGAACGAAACGTTTATATAAAACTATATAAATGTGAACTACATTATTTCTAAACGTCACTGTAAAATAATAAAACCAGAACTCGCGAAACTGCCATTGTCTTATTCAAACTCTGAGATTAAGACTAGAATACATAGAACAACCAATACGAAATACGACGCAGCGCCAAAACAAATTAATTAGCTAATTTTACTGAAATATAACCAAAACAGAATATTTCAAACACTTCTCTGCGACACAAACACAAGTAAAGAAAAACAGCATTTGTATGGAAAAGTTCGTCGTCAAAAAGTTAGCCAAAATAAAACACGCTAAACATTCTGATGTATATTAAAAAAAAAGCGCTCGGGTTATAGGATTTTTATTCATTTCTATTTGTTTGTTTGTAATTAAGCAGAAAGTTACACAATGGGCTATCTGTGCTCTGCCCACCACTGGTATCGAAACTTGGATTCTAGCGTTGTAAGTCAGCAGACGTACCGCTGTGCCACTGGGGGGTGGGCTATTCATTTCTATCAAGACTTCTTGAACCTACGTGTTTTCTAACATCATGAAAGTATTACCAGAAGTTAACGAAACATTAAACATGCCAGTCACTCGCTTTCTATTCAAGCTCTGACAGAGTATGATAAAAGCTAGGATCTATAAATATAACCTAGACATAACAAAACACAAACAAAATTTAACATAATGTAACGAAAAGTTAAATCGCTTTCAGCTCCTACTGAGGCCTGGCATGGCCATGTGGTTAGGGCGCTTGACTCGCAATCTAAGGGTCGCGAGTTCGAAACTCCGTCCCACCAAACATGCTCGCCATTTCAGCCGTGGAGGCGTTATAATGTGACGATCAATCCCACTGTTAATTTGCAAAGGAGTAGTCCAAGAGTTGGCGGTGTTGACTATCTGCTTTTCGTTAGGATAGTCCTCGTGTAGTTTTGCGCAAAGTTCCAAACAAATCAATCCTATTTTGATCTTGTTATCAAAAGTACAGTTTTTTTCTTCTAAAACCACGGTTATGTTTCTTCTCGTGAAAGTATCTTATTTACTTTAATCTCCTAGATGGAGCCTGTATTTTACCGGGAATCCCTGACTAATTTTTAAAGATTACCGGAAATTTCTATGACGTCTGAAATGAAAAGGAGGTTCATGAAACATGCAAATGACAGGATCGATCTAAACGAAGTGTGAGGAACATCTTACCTTTTAGTCAATATTAAAATAGAAATTTCAAGTCACATAATTTTTGTGTTTTTGGAATTAATATAATGATTACATACATTCCAAAAGGGATATAATCCAAAACTGTTGTTTTCAATCAAAGAATATTGTTTAATATTACACACATATGTACATACATATTTTCAATTGTATTCTCTAAGAATTCAAATCTAAAGAATAAAATATATAGGATTAACATATGGAGTGGACCAGTTAAACCTGATAATCAAGAGTGTTATATATATAATAATGCTTTGTGAAAGCATGACATCTAAAGTATAGGCTGACTTCGGATAATTTGTGATAGAAACGATACGTTTTCAAAGACACGAGTTAACCACTGTCAAATTCGATGATGAGGAACCCACTTTAAGACTAATAATGGCTAAAGACGGCTTGAATGGGTAATGAAGAAAAACTTTAATATAAGTTTAACATAACAGCAAATGTAGAACGTTTCGACAAGGTTTTGTCATTCAAGCCGTCTCCAGCCATTATTAACCACCGTCAGTCTTTGATAAACACTGTAAAAATTAAGATAGTTAGTAACTGTTATTTTTTGCTCTCGTTGTTTTACTTTTCAGTGGAACGTTGTCAGTATCATCCACTGTCTCTGAAAGCAGTGCAAACTGTGCCAGGTTTCGTTATTTATCTACCATTTTATGAAGGATGGTGCACCCCAGTGGCTCAGCGGTAAATGGGCTTATAACATTAAACATTGAGTTTCCATACCCGCAATGGGCAGAACAAAAATAGCCCATTGTGTTGCTTTATGCTTTACAACAAAGGCGAAAACTGTACCGCCAGCGAAACACGATTTTCTTTGACATGAATAGCGACTGAACAGTCCAAACTAGAAATATTATAACTATAAGATATCAATAATAGAATTATGGTTTACAAACCATCTTCTGAGAGATCAACTCAACGTATCTTTTCAAACAGTCGAATATCAGGGTTCGAAGTTTGCAAAATTTCTAGTCGTTCCTTCACAAAAATTCTAACTGGTCCTCCAAGAATTCTAACTAATTCTTATCAGGTTAAAATTCAATGAACTTGTGTATATATTTAAAATATTAAAATCCACAAACTGAAGATGACGTGAAACCACGTTGAAGTATGTAGAGTGAGTTTTGCAACCGTTAATCGGTTTAAATAAAGATTTCAATAGTGTATTATAAAACGTTGTTCATTTAATGGATTTTAATTTTTTAAATCGATCTTAGTTAAAACACGTGATGACTGTCTAAATAGATGTTTGGAAGAGTATTTCAGCAAATTTATGTTATTTGTTCTGCCTTCTTCTCTCTCCTTTTTTTTCAGTTTTCGTTGGCTTTATTACCTTAATATGTTATTACAACAGGTTATTGCAACTTACAATATATTTATATAACAGTTACTTAACGTTTGAAACACTCGATATATTAAAGGATATTTTGAACGTTATATAAAACACTGTTTAGGAGGTAGTCGATACGTCATAGAAGGCCTTGTCTTCTGAATCTACAGATGGCGCGCATTGTTCGAAGCTTGAAGTATCAACTGTGTCACCATCATCATCTTTTTCAGGCCTAGAAGGTAAGAAAACCTCTGGGTGCTGAACCTGAATAGACGTGTTCCACCTTTTTCTACGTCGTTTCTCAAGAAGTGTTTCCGGGGTATAGTTACCCTCGTCACCAGACAGTTGTGATTCAGAACTAATTTTGACGCCTCGAACAGCCGTTGGAGGAGAACTGAAACCTACAACATGTTGATCTTCGTTCCAGTATAAGGATGTAATGTTCTTACGCGATGTTTTGAAGTGTTTTTTTGCCTTATACCTTGTTAATTTGGAAGACTGATTTTTGGAAATGGATCTTCTGGAAGTTAAAGACTGAAATCCCTCCAATAATTCGTTTGTTTGTTGGGAGATGGCGCTCCTATTTTTCAGATGTTTGGTCGTAATTCCCTTCGATACAGTTCGATGTCGGCTTCTGAACGAATTCGTTTGAGAAATAGAATAACAGACAGATAACGGCCGAGGAACTGGTTTCTGTTTTAAGGATAATAAAAAACACAATATTTATAGCTGTAATTTACAAAATAAAACAAAAAAGCAGAAATGTGATTTTTTAAATGGGCGTACACATATGCAAGCTTAAATGTTCCAAAACAATGTATGATTTTTTCGTAGAATCGAAAAAATAAATTTATAATTAGAAGTTCTAACTTCATTGGCTTTTTTAAAGACAAATAATAAGTATTTTTAAAGTACCTTACAAGATCGAAATGCATCTACAATATGATCGCTCGGTTTGAAAAATAAATTAGGTATTTGCCAAATCGTGCGATTGCCCTGACGCCTAGCACTAGTGACAGAAATTAATTGTTGAAAGGTTATCCCTTGAAAGAGATTACACAATTATAAAGGCTGAGACGAAAATAATATATCTTATAACGTGCTTTAAAAGCAAATATATGTCTTATGTAGAAAGAGATATAGGGGCATTTATATACTAGAAAGTTTCAAGGTTTTGCATAAGTTTGTGTGTTTTCGACGTTTTGGTATTGACAGTGTAATAATTGTTAGCATAAAGAATTGAATAAATAGCGTACGAACAACGACGTGCCATAGAATTTAGCTAGTGGTTGTAATGAACACTTCAGTCAGGTTTATTGTTACGAAAACCAAAAGGGTTGGAAAAACAATACAAACTTGGTTTAGTCTGATAGATGTGGTTCTGCACGGATGATTTGAGAGGGAGCAGTTTAATAACTTGGGGTTGAAGGATCGGAATAGGAGATTAGCTGTCCTAGCCTTTGGAGATAAGGGTTAACAGTATTGTTACGACAGCGGAAGTCACGTAACGCTGGTAACACGTAATGAGTTCTAGAAAAATCGGGGAACATAACGAATAATCCAGTATTTGCTAGGCGCCCTCTATTCTTGTATATAAGTGCGCCAGACAATGAATCGGAATTGAATAGCGGACAGAGCGATTGAAGATATAGACGGACAATTGAGTCAAGCGCGGTAGTAAGTAAAGTGCGTGAATCGTTCGTTGAAAATTATAGCGTGTGTTTAAGTGACTGTGGAAATTAATTGTATTGCAAAGTTCTATTGAGAAAGAATAAACTAGTTTTATTTAAGAGAGGACTTGTATCGCTGAAGTTTCTCGGGGAGAATTTCTACCGGAAATTATCAAACGAGCAGAGACGTAACAGTATGTTCCGATGATTTTATACGCTAGGTAGTTTAAATAACTGAAGCAGACTACACAAGAATTTTGTTAGTTGAATTGCGTTTTCGTCCATGTAGATGAATAACTGCGATACTAAGATTCCGTGTTGTTAATAGCAGGAGGACGAGTTCATATACTATGATAGGTAGGAAAGGGTTCTAGTGGTCGAATAAGCCGAGTTTTTAAATTATAGCTCAAAGACTGGTTTGTTTTACTATCAGACGGTTTAGTTAAAAACGAGTAGACGTGACTTAGCGAGTTCATTATACTACAGTATTTGCTTTGTGGAATTGGTGAATACCAAGAAGTATCTTTTATTATATATTCTAGGGGATGATGTGCATGACTGAGTTTTGTCAACACGATGGGCCCTGTCGGGTGTAGACAGTGGTCCGAACGCGTTGTGTTTCTCTTTTCGCCTTGTTTACATATAATGCATTCAAATGAAACGTTTCAATTAGGAATTTTATCACTTTTGCCGAATTTTTCTCGGAAATTTCGTTGTTTATCTAAACAAGAAATTATTTATTTTCCTCCCGAGATTTTTCCTCAAAAGAAGACGGTTAGAAATTCTGCCGACAGAATTCAAAGGAAAATTAAATTCACGCATTTAAATGTAATTGTGAATGGGGAGAGGGGGGTGCGCCCCATTGCTACGTCCCTGGTGATGAAAATGGTTGGATAAAGTAGTAGAAAAGGTAAGAACAAAATTTAGTTTAAGTCTAGAAGTAATTAAACGTATTGTTAAACTTGATGGAACAACTGGTCTAAATCACCTTCATCATACACAAAATCTAATTCTTTTGATATAATACTGCTCGTTAAAAAATGTTCTATGTTGGAGAGAGAGACTTAATTATTATTCGAGCAATCGACGTGAGATTAAGTTGGAAAATAACTCATGCTTTTATTTGTTAACATTTTGAAATGTTTTGGTGATGTATATATTATACCAACTTCTTACCACAGCATGCTCTTTACTTACTATATCGGACCTAATACTACGTACGACTTGAGTGACAAACCGCTCTCCCTAGGCAATTTCCTCTTACCCACAGCTTGAAGTCTGTGACTGCACTAGTAAACGCTAAACTATTTAGTAAGTATAGCCGCACCAACAGGCCACAGCTGAGAAAACTATTAAAATACCGTCACCAAGGTAACAAGCATGTGCGCACTTTCCTTAAATCGATTTTATGTGCACTGTATGTGGATCTACCTGATCCCTTAAGATTAAGAGCAACTGATTTAAGCTTTAGGAAAAGTATTAAGAAATGTTTCCAATTATTTGTTAACCTTACGGTTGATAGCCGTAGAAGATTAGAGTAAAATTTGACCACCATTAGTTAAAATTATTAGAATAACAAATATAGCAGGTGTCACCCATCAAAAAAACGTACAAAAATAACCTAAAGTGGACAGAAATTGTCCACTAAAAACACAGATGAAAACAAAAGTATCGTAGTTGGGTTGAGGATAAGTAGAGGAGCCCAGTTACTTGTCTAACAATATTATTTTAAACTTACCATGAGTCTCTCCCACTGTATAGCACTGCTCAACGGTGCTTGTTGTGTGATCTTTTGCCATAAAAGTTTATTTTCTTCCATTGTTTTTACTAAGTCTTGACGTCTTCTAGGTAAATTCAAGCTGGAAGGATGAATATTTCCTTATTAAAATTATAACAGAAGCGTAGAGCTGGATGTTCCCATAGGCTGCTTCTGCCTTAGTCCATAGGCACTTCTAGCCTTGCATTGTCTATGCTGCCTAAAATTCCGATTAAACTTAAAATCGTTGATAAAATATCAAAATCCTAACGGTTTAAAGCATACAGCGAAGACTTTGGAATTCATAAGTTTAAAAATACTAGTAATATATATCGTACTTCGAATTGCTCATGTACTATTAAACTATTCATCAGTTCTCAAGGAAAAGGGGAGAGTTCTTAACATTTACGTTTATTTGTTTTGAATTTCGCGCAAAGCTGCATGAGAGCTAGTCATCCTTAATTTAGTAGTGAAAGACAAAAGGGAAGACAGCTAGTCATCTTCTCACACCGTCAACACTATTACCAACGAATAGTGGGATTGACCGTCACATTATAACACCCCCACGGCTGAAAGGGCAAACATGTTTGTTGAAACGGGGATTCGAACTTGCGACCCGCAGATTGAGACTCGAGTGCGAGTTCCCTAACCGCCTGCCCATGTAAGGCCTTCTACCGTATACAGTTCTTACCAACACATACATAATAGGCGCTATGAGTGTTATTATGGTACACATAAATATTTTGATATACTTTTAATATAAAAAACTCCTTCTAAAAGACTTTGTATGGCATAATGGTTAGGATGCTCGACTCGTAATCTGAGGAGTGCGGGTTTAAATCCTGTCACTAATCATACTTGCCCATTCAGCAATGGAGGCGAAATAATGTAACGACCAATCTCACTTTCGTTAGTAAAGAATAACCCAAGAGTCGGCGGTGGGTGGTGTTGACTAGCTGACTTCATTCATTTCATAGTTAGAAATGGTTAGGGCAGATATCCGTCGAGTAGTTTTACGCGAAATTCAACAAACAATTAGAAACATTCCTACGATGTTTCATTTCTGCTTGCCGAGAAGCTTCATTTAACGATATTTCGGTCTCATTTCTGCATCAAACAATCATGGAAACCATATTGATTTTTAATATCTAAGCTTTTATTTATGTAGTGCTTTAACAAAATAAAAATTTAAACTATGGTCGATTGACTTAGAACAAAATGCAGACGTTCTCACATTCTTAAAGATTTCTACTGTTTGTTTGTTTATAATTCAGCATAAAGGGCTAGCTGTGCTCTGCCCACCATGGGTATCGAAACTCGGTTTCTAGCGTTGTAAATATACCGCTGTGTCACTGTGGGGGCTTTATTCTATGTAGATACACGACTGCAAAAAAACATCCCCTTTTATAGATCTAGACTGGAATACCTGTCGTTCTCAGCCATAAAAGCTGGAATAAATTTTATAGGAGGAGGGGAGTTACAAATTATTGAACAGAACTGTAACCCTTGTATATGTTGAAAACCACGTTAAAATATTTGAATAGAACGATGCCAGTTTATCTATTTGGGGAAAAATATGCCGTACCCGCAGTTCCTGCTATTGTATTTACAATAGGCTTATCATAAAACTTCGAAAGCAGATGAAGTGAAACGTTTTCCCACATTAAACTACAAATAAACATAAACCGCAATACTAGAACCAAAGTACGGTTGTTGTTTTTTTTCTTAGTGTAAAGAAAGCTAGGGCACTCGACTCGCAATCTGGAGATCGCGGGTTCGAGTCCCGTCACCGAACATACTCACTCTTTTAGCCGTGGGGGCGTTGTAAAGTGACTATCAATCCAACTATTCGTTGGTTAAGAGTTCGCGGTGGGTGGTGTTTGCTAGCTACCTTTCCTCTAGTTTATCACTTCAAAATTAGGGACGGCTAGATCAGATGGCTCTCGAGTAGATTGTGCAAAATTCAACAAACAAACTTCATGCAAAGCTAAGCAATGGACTATCTGCACTTTGTCCACTGCGGAAAATGGAATCCCAAATTTTAGCGTTTTAATTTCGTGAATTTACCACTAACCCACCGGAAGACACAAAGTGTGGAGTTTATTTCTAAAAAAAAATCATTTTACATGCGATGTAAATCATGAACAGTGCAAATCAATACTATTATTCTAACAC